CGGAATGGAGAACAGCACGCAAGCCAGCACTTCTGTCGAGAAAAGAAATCACCATTGGAGAAGTTACAAGTTGATTATTGACCCGGCTCTGAAAAAAGGACAGCACAAACTCTACCGTTACGATGGGCAACATTTCAGCATGCCTGTGAGTGGGGGGGGGTCGTGGGTTTCCCCCATTGTGTTATGCCCCCCCCCCCCCCCCGCCTGCCCGCCTCCGTCTTACCGGCGTTTTGGGGGCTGGGGGTCCCTTCGGGTCGTGGTAATCCCTGCCGTAGCACATGCGTGTGGGAGGGGGGTCTGGGGGACACACATACAGCCACCAAAGTTACTGCCACCTGACACTCTGTATTCAACTGTCAGGAGCCCGAGAAGGAACCCAAACCTGCGGCTTTATTTCTGTGTTTCCAATCTGTGTGCGTTTCCCAGCAGTATTGCAATTTGACACGTGTGTGTGTGTGTGTGTGTGTGTGTGCTTTCCCCTTCCCTTGAGACAGCCCATGCTTCCTTGGGGTTTATTTTTTCTTTTATTTGTGTCTTAAATTTCAAGCCCTGTTATTGCTGGTTTTGTGCTTTTTCTCCTCCTCCTCCTCCTCCTTCTCCTCCTCCTCCTCCCAGAACTCGGGAATCGCTCCTGTGGATTGTGTCAGGGATCCCAGAATAGGGCGAATATGGACCAAAACTAAGGAGTTGGAGCTGTCTGTCCCCAAATTCAAGGTACTGCCCTGACTTTTGGGTTTAGCTCTGTGTTCTTGTTTATCTGGGAGTGAAGCTTCAGTTCCAAGTAGTTTAATGGACCGTTTAAATGACAGTCATATTCCTATTAACATTATTATTTGGCAGACTGTTTAACAATAATCCTCTTCTATAAAGATAAGGAGAAATCAGTGCATCTGTCTAATGAGATCACTTGGAGGTTTTGGAGCTGTGTCTTGGGGGCTTCTCGGGTGGGGGGCAGCGGAGGGGGGCTCTCTGCTGACAGTACTGCTCAAAATACATATTTGTAGCCCAGAAAGGAGCCGGTTTCAATGAACGGCTGCAGCGGCAGAGGCTCTGCTCAGCTCCGGGGTTCATCCCAGAGCCTTGGAGGCAGTTTTCTTTCCCCAAAGTTTGCAGGATGCTTTAACCCTCTCCCTCCCGTGCCATCCTTATGCCCTCCCCCATGCTCGTTAACGATGACGATTATTTTTATTGCCCCCCCCCCACCTTGCGCCCGTTTCCAGATTGATGAATTTTACGTGGGGCCAGTGCCTCCCAAGCAGGTCACCTTTGCCAAGCTGAACGACAACATCCGCGAAAACTTTTTGACCGACATGTGCAAGAAATACGGCGAAGTGGAGGAGGTGGAGATTCTCTACAACCCCAAGAACAAGAAGCACCTGGGCATTGCCAAAGTGATCTTTGCCACTGTCAAGGGTGCCCGGGAGGCCGTCCAGCACCTTCACAACACCTCCGTCATGGGCAACATCATCCACGTGGAGCTGGATACGAAAGGTGAGGGGGCACATTTCGGCCTCACGCGTTTGTGTTTTGCGGTGCCCCTGCCTGTCCCTCTCCCAAGACAAGAGGCTGTTGCAGATCGCAAGGGCCCGGCAATTAAAAATACGAAGGGAGTGCTCCTGTCCCCCTGCAAGCGGGTCTGGTTTCTGGGGCCTTTGCAAGTCACGTGGAGCCAAATGTGTTGTCTGTTGCTAGGAGACAGCCCTGTAATTTGCAAAATGCTGCCATCCTGCCTGTCCCCTGCCTTCACCCTGCCCCGTCCCCTGCTCTTAGAGGCCTCCCGTGCCCCCCATCTCCGTGTCCCAGGCTGGCCCCGCGCAGCCACCTCCGGGGCTGCTGGACCCCGTGGCACCTGGCTTTTGCAAACTTGGGATTTTGGGGCAAACCTTGGGCCTTTGCTGGGACCCAAATCTCTGGATTCTGGCGGCAGCAGCGGGGCTGGGTGCTGTCCTCTGCGTGCCTGGCATTTCATTGATACTTAGCAGCAAAGTCGAGGCTGGCAGCAAAAGAGTGCACACGCAGCACTTGTCAGTGTGTGTGCGCGCGAGTGTGTAAGTGTGAGACTGTCTCTTAAAGTGACAGGAGCTCCGACTCCTGGAGGTAGCCAACTCTCAGCCCCAGACCTGAGCCCTAGGCAGCCCAATAAAATTTCTGGAAGTATGACAGCATCGCATTTCACCGCTTTGTCTTTTCTCTTTCCTCCAAGCGTGTTAGTGAAGGGCTTTGCTAAAATGTGCCCGAATTTTAGAAAATGTCTAAAGCAGAGGAGGTGTAGATCAGTTGCTGCTTGTACTTCTTCATTGCAGACATGGCATTTCTAGTTTAAAACTAACTTGCTGCACTCTTTCTTGGGAAGAGGATGCTGTTAACTCCATTTTCTTAAAAATGCTGATATTTTTGTTCTGCATTAAAAGGGTTCAACAATTTAGTGCACAACCTATACAGCAATTGGTGTACCACATGTGTTAAAAGGGTATAGTAGGACGTTTGTTGACATTACTGGTCACCGTTAGAAGAAGTATCACAGTAGTATAATATTCAATATTGTGAGCCAAGCTTGATCTTACATATGTATACTTTGAAATTCTAGTATCATTAATTTTTACAGACAGGCTCCTTCCCCTGCTTACTTTGAAATTTGAAGGTAAAAATTACATTTAAGAGCAAATTAACCATTTGTAGATTCAATAGTGTAAGCTAAAGCAGGCTCGTAAGTGGTGGACTTCTTAATGAGAGGCATTTTAAACAAGCTGATTGTACTACATTCGTACTTGTTCTCTGTTTATAAACTACTGTGCAAGTCTTGAACAGGCAGCTGTTCAAGAAAGTTAGCTGTGCATCAGGAAAATGAGGGGGGTTTATGCTTCTGTTTCTTGGGAGAAAACACTGAAGTCTTAGTTTCAAATTGCGTTTTTGTTTTGTTTCCCAGCTGTATGCTTCTAATGGTTTTCTTTTTCCACAGTTGCATCTCTTTCATTCTTAAAGAGTGAGACTGTCAGTGTGCTATAGTCTGTCAGAATCAAGTAAAAACGTTATTCCTAAAATAGCATTAGCAGGTTAGGACATTCTTAAAATACATATGTATAGTTTTCACCATTTCTTTCTAGTATTCAGCTTTTCAAGAGAATGAAAGGTTGGTTAAAAACTTGATTTTCATAGTCTAGCAAAATAAGTATTAGGAGCAAAAATGTCATTTTATCTATCTGGCCAGAGCACAGGCCTGGGAATCTGGAACTAATATATCCAGTCTCCTCATCTAAGACAAGCTAGTTTAAAGCAACTTCTCTGCCTCAGTTTATCCATCTACAGAATGGACACAATAATTACCTGTCCTTAGAGAAATAGATAGGAATCATTTCACATTCATAAATCTCTTTGAAAATGAAATTTTAACTTTTACTGCATTATATTGAGTTTCCAGAAAGAATTATGAAACTTTTAAACAATTAGTTTGTATTTATTTGAAAACATGTAAGTAAGCCTAACATTTCCATATCCACGGCATTGTAGTCTTATGGGGGGGTGGTGTGTGTTAATATTTCAAACATAATATTTCAAGCATCTCTTCAAGCTCTTGTAGTGAAGAGATCTATTTTGTCATGACTTTAGTTAAACTAAAACAGTTAACATAGTTGAGGATGTGGCTCAAGACTTTGTGAAATGAGATTTGATAACCAAATAACCTCATCTGCAGCATTTATTCAAGATAAATGAATGTTTTCCAGTATGCAGAATCATGCTAAGGGGCGCTTTGCTTTCAAATTGCACAGAGTGATTCACAGGGAGTTTGGGGTTTGATCCTGCAGGAACTCCTCATGAAAGTAGTCCTGTTTCGGGGGAGATCTTTTCTGAATTCATTTTCTGGGCTCAGGTGCTGTGTCTGTCCATTTTTCTGTGTATTCTTTATCCTTCCGTGTGAAATTGAGGCAGTTTTGAGGTCTGATTCTGTTGCCCGTGAAGCTGATGACAGATTTCTTACAGACTGCAAAATAAGAAGGATTGGGTTTTTGTAGTAATGAAAAATCCAATATTAAGAAACTGGGTCTTTTTAGAATTCAGGAATGTAAAGGCTAAGGCTCAGTAACAATATATGGGACAGTTTGCTTCTCTGGCTTTTATTCTTCGAAGGATGCTGCTGAGCACACCTTAAACTAGGGGGCGGAAGGATTAGTCAGTGTCTTTTTGGAAAAGCAGTGTTAAGGGTTTTGTCTTTGGAATTCCCATGCATCGTGTTTGCATTAATAACAGCCAGTTTCTACTAGCAAGGTGTGTTGGGAGAGCTTTCTGAAGTGGCTCTGGGTGTTGGCAGAGGCTTGTCCCTTGGGTGAAAGTTTCACTTCTAAAATCTGCAAGCTATTTGCCTGGCATTTTGGAGAGGAGGTAAACTGCTGCTTTCCAGAAAGCATGGTGAAGAGCAGAGCTGCCAAGCAGGCTGAGAAGAGGAAAAAGGATTTAGAAACCTCCTTGTCTTGGCTGGAGAAGAGAGTGTCTGACTTCACTTGGCCAGCAGATTATTTAAAAATGATCCCTGCAAGCCTCAGGGGTGATACCTGCTCCTCTGTTGTGTGGATGCAGCGGGCTGGGAGTGGGAGCAGGGTCATGCAGGTGTCGAGAATACGTATTTTTACATCAGCTGTGTTATTTCTGTTTAATGAACTCTTCCATTGTGGTCTGTGCAGGTGAAACCCGCATGCGATTCTATGAACTGCTCGTTAATGGTCTTTACACTCCTCAGACCCTTCCTGTAGGCACCGAACAGGATGTATCGCCAACTGTAAATGAAACTCTCCAGGTATGTTTGCTTAGCTTTTTTTTTTTTTTAAGAGTAACTTTCTAGAAAATTCCAAACAAATGCATCATTAACATTAGGGTTTAACACTTTTAATTTAGCCTCTTTTTTTTTTTTGTCTTGCCATAGTTTCAGTGGATATTACTAATTCACATTTAAATATAACTTGGTCATAATTGCCATAGCAAATGTAACTCTCTGTGAATGCAGTGCATGTGGCTAATCTGTATGCTGGTGTCTGCATAGCATGGTAAGTGCTTTTTGTCTTTCTGAATGAAAAATACCTACAGAACCGACAGTATGTGCCCTATTAACATTAGAAATTCCTGCAGTTAGGACTGGATCAGATTTGTCCCTGAGATGAGATTATTCCCTTGAAGTCAGGGGGAATGATTTACAATGGTACATTTGGCCTAGCATCTGCAGTATGTAATCCTTAGTGCGTACGTTCTTCAGCCTTGCTTAAAGGCTAAAAGATGGAAGGTGTCTGATCTTGAATAGTGGCATAAATTTTCCAGAATCTTAATTAGTCACTGGAATCAGTTGTTAATAAAAGTGGATGGAATTCCTGAGGGCTTCCAGGGGTCTGTTGATATCTAGGATACAATTCTCTAAATGGCTTTGTACAGTTACCTGCTCCCCTGTGAACCCCACCGGGATGAGAGGATGAAGGGTAAGTGAAGCCTGTTTGTGTGAAGTTGTCAACCCCCTTGGCTTGTCTAAATGTACTTTGGCTCCTGATTGTGACTTAGGAGCCCACTTCAAGGCATCGAATTTGGAAGAGATTTGGCAGAGATTTTTTGCTTTCCCCCCCTTCTCTCTACTTCTCTGCATTCTTATGACTTCTTAAAATGCCATAAGTTCATTCATTCTGTGGGCAGATGTTTTCAGGACAGGTAAGAGCTGTACATTGAACATGAAAATCCCACTGATCTGAAAAAATAAAATACTCCTCTTCTCCCACCAACCACCCCAACAGCAACAAGGCAAAACCCCAGTATCCTTTTAACAAAATCATAAAGAGATTGATTCTTCCTTACCTCCCAGCAAGGTGTTTTTAAAGGCAGGAGGAAGGCAAATAATGATTTTGCTGGGAGCCCTACTATGAGCAGGGCCTGGCTTTTCATTTCTGCTGGTTACACATCTGAAATAAAAATGGACAGATTTGTTCTTACTCCTTCTTCAGGGTTAACAGCAAAACACTTAGTTGGTGGTATCCCCCAAAGTAGTCCCTGCTGTGATTATCTTTAAGATTGTTCTCTAGGATATTGTGTTCATGTATTATATTATGATCCAGAATTGATTTTTTTCCCAATTACCACCAAAATTATTGCTTTTTGGGTAAGTTTAACTGTTTGCAGCATGTTCTTGTCACTCAAATCTGCCAACAAACTTGTTTGCTGTTGTAGTTTTAGTAAAATAACTCCTGACATTTGCTTTCCACCTCATGCAGAGCAGCAAGGACCTGACAGTTCTGTGAGCCACAATCTCTGCCTCTAGGCCATATCCAAACCCCACTGAAAAACAATCCATATCACATCTACACCAAAGGCGGAGAGATGTGGATTTTAGCAGGAAGCACGTGGCTGGTTCCTGACACTTCCTGTAGGTTTTAGAACTGTTGAAGAAGAAACTTTCCTGATGTCCATGTGGTTGTGGTCTCTAGGGGGTCACACCAAGAGCAAGTCCACACTATTGAGTGGGTGAGATGGGTGTGAGTGTAGCAGGCAGGTAAGAGCTCAGCTTGAGTTTGATGGTGCTGGCATGTTTCACGCAGGTCATTTTAAGGGTCTCTCTACCTACCTGTGCTTGGGAGAGGAGCAGCCAGCCTGTAGTCTCACCAGTTTGCTATCCTGGTGTGCTTCTGGGGAGTTGGAGCTCAGTCCTACCTCTCTTGCTACCAGGAAGATTCTTGCTGAGCTCTTGCTTTGCATTATGGAAAATTGGTTCCAGCACTGATGATTAGCATGGCACTGTTATGACTCAGCAGAGTCTCAGTTGGAGCAGGACTGCTCCTAGAAACCCCCTGAATCTGCCTGTGAAGTGAGTTGCAGAGCAATTACTTGGCTGTTCTGTAGGCTTGTAGAGTTTCAGTTTCAAATGCCATTATCAGTAGTGCTCTACCTGAGCATTTGTCTTTGGGAAGGGGTTTAAAATGGTGTTTCTGGCAGTTGAGAACTTTTTGTGCCTTTTATACCTGTAGCCTTCTCCCTTGTTGTTACAGATGAACATTTGGTAGAGAGGGTGTTGCGTCAGCTTCCTCAGTTGGACCAACACAAAGCCCTGCTGCCTAGGTTTGGTTGCAGGCTGGGAGTTTGCTGATTTTTATGTTTCGATTTGTTCACAAAAAAGATAAATTGATAATTTCGTATGTCAGAATTTTCATAATTATCTTTCCTATTTGCAATTTAGACAAGCCTTACATAGTTGATAGAAATTGAAACTCTTAGCTAAAAGTACTGTGCAAGTCTCCTGTTCACCTGATGCTCTTGGGTATAGCTTATAAGCAATACTGTTGTATCTGCTTTCTTCTTCCTCCTCTTATAGACAAGTTCCTCTTTACTTGCTGCCTTCTTTTAAATCAAAGGGAACTGTTAATAATGGATAATGGTTTGTGTTTTCAGGGATGCTGTAACTTTTTTTTTTTTTTTTTTGCCTTGGAAATCGGTGCAAACTCCTGGGTACTCAACTCCTCTGAAAACCAACTGGATTAGACAAATATCTTTTTAAAAGTGTGTGTTTAGGTGCTTTTCTCTCTTCTGTTTTTATAGTTGACGGATTCCCTGAAGCGCCTGAAAGACAGTAACCTTTCTTCTGCGGGATCATCTGTTACCCCAAACAGTAGCACGCCATTTTCCCATGACACAGCCTATTCCAGCTGTCGGCAAGACACCCCAAACTCATACAGCCAATTTACCCCACAGTCCCAAGGCACACCTCACACCCCACGGTTAGGGACACCGTTTTCCCAGGATTCCACCTATTCTAGTCGTCAGACAACGCCTGTGTACCATTTTGGGCAGGACAGTGGGTACAAACCCAGGAGACACGAAACAAAATTTACAGATGCCTACAACCGTCGACCAGGACATCACTATGTTCATAACTCGGCAGGTGTTTACCGAGGGACAGAGCATCAGTTTAGTACGTACAAATCCCATCAGCAGGAGCCAGTTCAGTTCTCTCACACTCCTCCCCTGAGCCACTCTAGTTCTTCGAGCTACAAATCTGCCTTCTCTCCCTACCAAGCACCAGCTGTATTTCCCCAATCCGATGAGCAGCAGTTTCCCCAAACTTCCAGGGAAACAGAGTACCGAAGACCTGTGCCACCTCCCACTGAGATGGTTGTGGAAAGCAGCACTGCCACTAACATCGATTTTGTCCCAGTGAAGGAGAAACAGGAGGACCCTCCGCCCTTGCCCGATTCAAACTCTGTTCCTGAACCAAGCACAGCATCCTTCTCTCAGACTCCAGAGAGAAGTGAGACCCCTGGCACCCCCACCATGGAGTCTGAAATGCAGCATAACAGTTTAGACTCACGGATTGAGATGCTCTTAAAAGAGCAGAGAACAAAGTTACCCTTTCTTAATGAGCATGACTCGGATAATGAGATCCGAATGGAAGGTAGCCCTATTTCCTCTTCTTCTTCCCAGCTCTCTCCCATCCCAATGTACAGTTCAAACTCTCAGCCCGGTTACAGAGGTCAGACGCCTTCGTCGCGCCCTTCCAGCACAGGCTTGGAGGACATTAGCCCAACGCCGTTACCTGACTCTGATGACGAGGAGCCCATCCCTGGGACGGCTTCTCTGAGTCAGAATTCACGGGGGACATCAGAGGCCAGCATGACTCCCATTGATCAGCTGAGCAGGACCTCCAAAATTGAGACCTCGGAGGCTAAAGAAATGGTGCCTGGTGACCAGACTCCGACGTCAGAAAAAATGGACGAGGTAAGTGAACTGGAACTGAGTTACGAAGCTCCATGCATACGTGCAGAGCTGGACAGGGCAGGGAGTCGCTCTTTTCTTTTAGTGTCGTTGGAGCGTAGGGTTTCTGGTGGCTTTTTCTTTTACTCAAGGCAGCTGGAAATGAGTTAGACGTGACACAAAGTGATGGTCTTAATCAACTTGCCAGTCTCCAGCTTTCCTTGTTTATAATAGCAGCCTGCTGCAATTTATAGCTTCAGGAGAGCTCAAGGACTGCACAAGCCACGGAAGTTTGGCCAGTGCTCATGCTGTGTGAATGTCCTGAGTGTCGACAGACACTTGAGCCACTAGAGGAGCTAATCGAGCACTTTCTGCCATTGCTTTGGTCCCTGAGTGTGGGTGTGTATGTATGCACACACTTGCTTAACGGGGCTTTCATGTTATGCCGAAGTATTGAATGTATACTTTGTTTGATAGCTCTCCAGCTATTTGTGCCATCTGGTTTGAACGGGAGACAGTTGCTGGGTTTTAATACTCGCTTTGCTCAGTTGGAAGGGGGAGGTAGTTGGCTTGTGGGGGATGTGCTCCACTGAGTCTTCCAATAATAGAGTGGAGCTTGCTGCCTCTGCTGGGGCATTTGTGGCTGAAGGGACAGTGAGAGCTTAACAGTGTGGAATGGTGCCAGCAGACAGAGAAATTACGTTGCATGGTGTGTCTGTTTGGGAGGTCTGTTGCAACAAGTGTGAGTATTGCTGTAGTGGATGTGTCGGTCCTATTCTGCTGTGTCAAGGAATGGTCAAAATACAGGTCTTTGCAAATGCCAGACCCTTTCTCCTCAGCTTATATAATACTCATGCAAGCAAATAAAACTACTGTCCCTGGTGTGCAAGAACTCTGCAGTAAGGGGTCCTCGACCATCCTAGAGGGCTGGTCTTGTGTAAATGTCCCAAGTGTGGTAGATCAATTTAATTCACCATGGAAGTGTGCTGGGGTTAAGCTGGCAGAATGGATTTCCCTCCAGTGGTCTGCAGTTGTGAGGTTTTCACCCGAGAAGCAGCTGCATTTCAGGAGAGGAGGAGCTGCTTCTGTAGCTCTAGGGTTTGCAGAGTGCTTAACTGGAGGAAAAGCACTGCAGCAGTAACGTAGTGCAGGTCTCAGTGCTAAATAGAAAAAAAATTGTAACTGTACTGGATATTTTGTTTTTTCTACATGCCTTTCCAAACCTGCTTGTCCTTGCAGTTGCCAGTTTAACCTTTGAAACAATTCAGCTGCTTGAGGTCTCATTCATCATCTAGGCTGCCCCAGGCTCCCCTCTTGGGAGGCGAGTCCCTGGCTAGTGGGACCTGATGATGTATTAATTAGGAATGGAGTTTTCATTCCTTGAGCTTGGTCTGGCAGGCTTAAGAGGGGATACTCTTAGTTTGTCTAAAAAAAATGAGAAAGGCATCCCTCAACTCCTTGCCATTCTGGGCTTGTATCTGCTGTCCTTACCCTCGTGCAAAGAGGGTTGCAGCTGATTTTGAGCATGTTTAGGAAGATGGATGAATGCCAGCATGGTATGTGGGGTCAGGCACTTTCTGTAGCTAAGATCAGCGTTGGGGGACTGGCTGGGATGTTATATTTGTAGGTTGTGATATGGGGCTGCGGCATGCTGATGTTGAAGCCCATGTTAAGTCTTTGTCTCCCCTTAATGAGACGCTGGTGTCAGAAGTTCACATCGATGGTTCTATGATACAAAATGATACAAATGCCTCCATCCTCTGCAGAAGTCAGAAAGGTGGTAGCAGGGTCTCCATGCAGGTCATTGCTGCCTTAATTGTCTCCTCCCCCCCCAAAAAAGTTTGATGTTTGTTGTTGGAGCTGTTTATTCAACCCTCCTCTTGGTTACAAATCACACTAAGCTATTCTGGCACGTTTGAAAAGTTGCCTGCGCCTTTCATTGCTCCTTCTGATGCACAAAAAACGATCTCCATGTGTTTTTTCTTCCTTCCCCCGCCCTTCTCTTCCCCCTCCCCCCCAGTTTTTTGCTTTACAGAAAGGCTCTCCTGGCTTCCCTTTTGCTGAAGGAACAGAGCTGAACAGTGACTTAACATAGGCTGAAATTTGAGCTGCAGCTTTCCAACTGAGTTAGAGAGGGGCATTGAGTCTGTCTGAGGGCTGGAAAGCTGAACCTCCGGCTTCAGCCTATTGTGATACCACTATTCAACTTCCAGTCCTTCAGAGAATCCTTCAGCAAAACAGAGGGAAGGCAGACCGGAATATTTCTAGTGACTGTGTGGCGTGGGGAGTGGAGCAGAAATGATATGTTAGCATAGGGAGGGCTCATTAAGTATCATAAGGAAGCAATAAAGGGCAGAGAGTTTGAACTTGTTATTTACTTCATATTTGGCTCTTCAAGGGTTGGAGCAGCCCCAGGCCAGCTCTCTTTGGGCGGGTGCTCTAGCTGGGAAAATCTCAGGATTCATAAGGATGCCAGCAAAGTTGCAGGGAAGCTTTTCCTGAGACAATAGGTGCTCTTCAAGGACCTACTCCTGTTTCCCATCAAAACAAGCACAATTTTTGTCAATGATTGCTAATATGGTAACATTTGTTCTATAGGTGAAGCGCTGTCAAATCGTCAGGCAAGTTAACCACCCCAGACTTGCCATAAGTAAAGGAAGTACAGCCAAGCCCCAGCAATTGCTCTGATTTATCATGCAAGACCCCGGAGTTTGATTTCAAGATCTGGTATGATACTCCTAAGCCAGAGCTTGGCAGGGAGTTTGGGTGTGGGAGAGGAAGGGCTGTGCATCTGTCTGCAACACCTAACTCCGACTAATCTCAGAGCAGTGATTATAGTCTGCAGAGAAAGTCCTGCTAAGCTTAGCCAAGGGACGAGCGCTGAGAGGTGGAACAGAGCGGGATGTGGGCAGTACGAGGTAAGAGGAGAAAAGGGATTCTTTACAAACAGCACAACCTGCCAGCCTGGAAGACAAGGCAGAGAGGGCTTTTTCAAGAAACTAGAAGATGGCAAGGAAAGAAAACAGCCGGGCTGCATTGTTATTTTAGGAAAATTTCTGAGGGTAGCAACATACAAACTTTCCTTCCTATGTTCCTGAGAGATAACAAGGAAAGAATTGTAATAATTTCTTTTTCACAGGATCTTTGCTGTTTCAGAAGTGCAAAGGTTAAGTAAGTACAGTTTGACATTTTGACATCCCATTTGAGCCAGGTCTTGTTTTTGCTTGGCTTGTTACAGGAAGAGGCCCTGCCTATGTGTGCTGGGGAGGGTGACAGACAGGATTGTAACAAGTAACTTTCTTGTATATTGATGATGCCTTTCATGTTTCAGTTTATGTGAATGTATTAGTTTGTGTGCATAGCCAGTGTATAATAGGAAGTCTGTATGATTGACAATGGTATTTTTCTAGATTTATAAGTACAAAAGTACATTTAATTGAAGGATCAACAGACTCCTGTCTTCCTGGTAGTTTGGCTAAGCACCTAGTTACTGTGGTGGGGTGCCTTAAAAATGCCAAAGATAATAATAAAAATAAAGATCCTGAAACATGAATGAGGTGAGAGCAGTTCTCTTGCTGCTCACTGTGAATTTTATCAAATGGTTTGGGGAGCGAACTGGAAGTTGCACAGTGCACAGCAGCCCGACAGAGACCTCAAAAGCCACTGCTGTCACCAGCACCCCTCAGCGTCTCACTCAGCTGTTGTAAATGTTTTTTGCCATGCTAGATGGTGAGGTGCCTCTTACAGGACAACTTTGGCATCCCTGTTACAAGCTATGCATATGCAGCAGATGCTCTCGCAGTTACCCAGGGAGAATTTCTGAGCTGTGCTTACACATAGACGAGGTGGGTCAGGCTCAGCCCTATGGTGAGCTCTGCTGAAGTCCCTGAGGTTACATCTGGGCTGACTTTGCACTTCGCATTGAAGTATCTTTGGGTTCTTGTGTGGTCGTGGCCAGAACTGGAAGAAATTTATGTTGAAGTGTCACATTCTCCCTCCGGACCCTTAGCAGGATGTGATGACATTCTCTTCAAGACACTGCATCGTGTCTTGTGCCACTCCATGCTGCTGCATCGCCATCCAGACCAGGCTGTGTTTCAGTAGCTGGTAAATGATTCCCCTTTCCTACAGAGCCAAGTTCAACCTTTAGTTGTCACGAGCGCCTGTGAGAAAAAGCAGTGCCCTGATGCTGTCGAGGCAGCGAGAGGAGCTGCAGGGGGGTTCTCTGCCAGCAGTACCTGCCGTGGTTGCCCCAGGAGTGGTCGATGCCCCTTGGAGTTGTGCTGCGCAGGAACGAGTCGGTCTCTGCCTACAGAAGGGTGCTCTCTCCTCCTGTATGCTGCTCCCATCCGCGGGTTGTGCGGGGTTGGAGGCAGCCCCGTGTTCCTGGGACATTGACAGCAGGTTAGATGGAGCCTCCTAAAGATGAACCCAAATGCACTCTACTAAAGGATGTTTCTGGGCTGGAGAGTGCAGAAGTGATTTATTCAAGGTAAATGCACATTAAGGTTGAGAAGGTAGAGTCTTAACAGCCAGGAAATTTGATACCTTGGTTTCCACAGTAACTGTGCAAGAGCCCTTATGCCCGTAAGTAGCTGTTATGTATGTATAATATATATGGGTACGCCTGGGATCCAATTTACAGCCAGAGTGGGATTCATCATTTCTGGAGGGAGATGGGGGGAGTAGATGTGGGGTATGGTTGCTCTGAATGTATTTTTTTAATTGAAGAAGGGAGAAAAACCTGAGAGCTGTGATTTATGCCCAGTCTCATAAACACTTTTTCAAATTTTCCTGCCTCCTGAGCTCTTGCAAATGCGATCATGCCTGACAGAACCGGTTCCTAATGGAAACTCAAAAAAATAGGTATATGTTATGACCATGAATTTCCAGAAATGCAGCCAGCCAATGCCCAGGCAGCAAGGATTTGGATGACTGCTGTGGTTTTACATGTGAATTACCAGCCATACTAAACCTGTGAAATTAAAATGAGAGCAAGCTGCTTTAACTGTGGGTTCAGTTCT